TGAAACAGTCATAGTGCTATTTTATTTTTTTACAAACCGGCTCGTAGATTGACTTAACTTGTGCACCTCGCAGCAAAGGCTAACACCTCCCCCTCTGAAAGGCCTTCTCCTTGTCCACGCCTGCCTGGGGCTTCACTGAACGTGAAAGGAAATGGGCAAATCTTCATTGGCACCATCTTTCCACCCTGGAGCGATGCAGCGCGAAGCGGAGTGTCATTGGAGATGTGAAGTATTTAAGTGTTTATCCAGTGTGGCAGAGCCCACAGGTGTGTGTTGGATGCTGGTTTCCACAGGCCGCATCGAGAGCGAGATTTCTCTTATCGCCTTCTCATTCTTAACCCCACAAACACGCACCGTCAGCCGCAGGAGGAGCTCGCGCAGAGACTCGTGCACGCAGCGTTTTGGAGGAGTTGCAGAAACTGAGCTGTGAAGGGAATTTTAAGACTTTGTAATTAGCAGCTTAAATCCTTCTGTTCGCCGTAAACGCAGTGGGATTTGTTTAGGGTGACACTCGCTCTGCAGGGATCAGTTGCCAGTCTCCGGTTACCCGGCGCATACTCTCGTGCGCAGCGCAAAGATGACAGGAATTCACTTAGAGGATTGTGCACATATTGAAATGTAGAGCCACGATTCTGAAAATGCCATCTGGGTAAGTGAGTGGTAGAATGTGAGGAATGGTAATGCGAGAGCCTCCTAAACATAAAAACAACAGCATTTATCGTTGATGCAAGGCACTTGGAGCGACTCGGGGTTATGTTCAGTATCAGTGCAAATCTGTGACATCTGGTTAGGAGATGGAACATTATATAAAAAATTAGCATTCCTTTGCAGAGTGCATTTTTCTTGCTTCTTTGTATTCCAAGGTTTTAAACAATGGTCTTGCTCGACCCGTTAGCTTTCTAAATATGTGCTGGTAAAATCACAACTAGAGATGTTCCGATCGATCGGCCACCGATCGATCGGCCACCGATCATGATCGACCGATTTCAATTAAAAATTATGTGATCGGCCAATACCGTTCAATGCCTTTCAGTGCTGATCACAAAAACCAATTACCTTTGCAGATGCAGAGGTCTGGTGGTATATTTATTTAAGCAGTGTTTTGAGATTTATTTGACTTTCTGCACCATTTAGCCTCTTGAGAGCCTTAATGTTTTCAATCTGTTAAAAATTGTCACATTTTGTCAGTTGTCCCTTTGACTGAATAGTTGCTGAATTGTGCCTGCAAGTCGTTTATATTTTTTGTAGGAGTACCGATTTCCTTAATTTTGGGAAATCGGAAACCGGCCAATACTTGCATGAGAAACCAGTTTTACAGATTTTTTTATAGTTTTAACAACAATTGTCTAAACTTCGTTTATATTTCAGAGCACTACCTCATGGCCAGTTAAAACAAGTTTGTATTGTTACTAGGATATTGTTCAAGGGTACGTTTTTCAATAAAATAATATTGGAAAATTGAAGGTGCATTGTGATCGTATAACGTCTGACAGCGTCAAAATCGGTTTCGACAGGTCAGATCGGTGCACCCCTACTTTTTTGTCTTGACAAAGTAAATAAAAACATGTTTTTGTCCAAGTTAAGATGATTTTATGGTTCCTTTTTTCCAGATCACGTAGCAAGTAGCACTCACCTTTAAATCAAAAACTTAGCCAATCCATGTGATCGGTATCGGTGATCAGCAGAAAAAAAAACCTGATCGGAGCATCTGTACTCTCAGCTACTACCACACCACATTTTAAATCAACGACTATAAAATTAGTTGAATTATAGCCTTTTTGTGTTTGCTTGGGATAACTTCACTGTGGTGGCCACCTTGAATCCAGTTGACTCCAAAATGTAAGCAGTTGCTGAGGTACATTAAGTGATTTTTTTTTTCTGAGTTCCATTAAAATTCATCCAGAGAGTCATGAGATATTTTGCTAACAGACAAAGAGAGTTCACCATCTTCCCATATCCATTCAGAGTGGCTGAGATCTTCTGTGTAAATAGGGCGCACTTTCTTTAGCCCACTCTGTTTTTTTGCAGCCTCTTTGCCAAGCTCTCTCGAGTGAGAACATGCAAACTCGGATCAATTCCGCTTCTGCATAATCAGATGTATTGATTTGTTCTCCCATGTGCTCGGAGTTTTACAGGAAGACAACACTCGTTGGCTTTTCAGTAAATCACAGCCTGCACCACAGAGAGCACGGCAAATGGACACTGACATGCCTGCGCAGATTGGTAAAACAACAATTGATTTATATATTTCTAAAATGAGAGAGAAATTGTACAGAAATATCAAAGCGATCACAACGGTTTGGTCCTTTTGTGGAGATAATGTCCCGTCTCGTATTTTCCCTCCCCATGCTTTATATGTTGGGATTTTCCCCACTGGCCTTTTATTTCCCAGCTGTGGTGTGGTGCTCTGGAGATAAGGAGAATATTACCTGGCACTAGCGCTGCCATTGTTCCACTGACCTAGCACCTTGTTACTCTGCCTGTACATATTTTTTGAGATAATGCAAGGTTAGCCTGCTGGAAAATTTGAGGTTATTAAAAGGGGTTACTATGGAGAGGGAGAAAGGTTATTGCAGAGAGCGTGAGAGTGTTTCCCACAGCTTTCAGTTGCCACGGATCGGCTTCCGATGTTTGCACAGAGTCAGACCTTGTATTAGAGCGAGCGAGAATACCAGGATTGGGGGGTGGGAGGTTATAAATTACAATTAAAGGCCTAGCATTTCTTAAAGGAAAGCATCTTGCCCACCACCTTTCATGATGGAGGTTTAGATTAAGATAATCTCATGTTCAGAAATGACTGAATTGTAGCAGTTTTGGTCAAATTTGCAATAAATAAATAAATGCAATATCACGTGTTGTGACTGACGCTTAGCTACATTAAAATCTAGCTCAGTGTCTGTAAAACTGACTTCGAGCCATTTTTGTGATGCTATATTTTGATTAGCTGTAGCAGCCATCTTGAATTGGATTGACATCAAAAGTTAATCCATTGTAGATGTGCATCCTGTAATTCATTACTCAACGTTTCAATAAAATCCAACTGATGGTTCTGCGATATTTTGCTAACAACATAAAAGATTTGGCTCCAGCAGTTATTGCTAAAGATTAAAGCAAAGATCTCGCACAGTGAGTAGCCCTTGGATTCTGTGTTGTGAATGACTCTCAGCTACAACCACACCACATTTTAGCACAATATCTTCAGAAGTGACTCGGTTGTAGCCATCTTTATGTTCCCTAAGATCAGTTGGCTGTGGCAGCCATCTTAAATTAGATTGTTTCCATAGTTTAATCATTTTTAAAGGGAGATCCATTGATTATTTCCTGAAAGTTTATTTACAGTCCATTCAGTGGTTCATGGGATAAACTGCTAACAAACAGCACTTTGGTTGGCCTTGTAGCTGTTTTAAGTGCTTTATAAATAAAGTGGTATGGTACAAACAGTTAATGGCAAAATTTTAATTAAAGATCCAGCCCAGTCTCTTAACACTCCGAATATGTGTTGGGGATCAGTCTCAGCACTTTAAATTTTAAAGTGAATATCTGTAAAACTGATGGATTTGTAGTGATTTTTGTTTTTACATCACTTGGCTGTGGCATCCATATTGAGCAAAGTTCACTCCAAAAGATAATCAGTTATAGACGATTGCTTTCTGTAAGATTTAACGAAATTCATTCAGTGGTTCATGAAATGTTTTGGCAACAGACAGACACAAACACAGACACGTGCAAAAACATTACTGTCCACCTTTCCTTTCAGCAGCGGCTGATGAAGAAATTATAGTCCTGAAAAGCCATAAGAATATTTCTGTTGTTTTTTTCTCACCGGACACTGCAGGTGAGGTTACAGTTGTGCCGAAGCTCTCACCACAGGCTGTACATTGTATCTCTAGCATCAAAGCTTTGTAAGGAAGCTTTCATTTCCAACCTGCACTGGGATGATCTCATAGTACTGTGGAGTTTTCAACATATGCTCTACAAACAGATGCACAGTCATCCAGTTGTATCCTATACCGCTTTTGAACACACAGCGCACACACAGATGTGCACACAGACGCTGGCATTTCAAGGGTTCTCTCTTCTGTGAGGCAGAGAAAGCAGCATGACAGACCTCGGTGTACAGAAGAAAGACTTATCATCCGCTGTTATTCTCTCCTCACAGACCAGGGGATTTTGCATGGGGGAGGGGGGGACTTGCAAAACCTGTTTTGAGGTTGGTATTTATTTATTTCATCTGTTATCAGCGGCTCTATAAGCATAATGCGCCTTTTGGTGCAGGCAGAGCACAATGCGCTTCAAAGTCCCCCTGTGATGGCTTCCACTCCTTTTACATCCTGTATGTGTTTGATTGATGATATAAGAGCGATACGCTGCTCGTACAGTACAATAGCACCGTACTCCATACTGATGTAATTCCAGCTCACTGTCGCCTCTCAGCCCGTCACAGCCTGCTGTGTCTGGAAAAGGGGAGAATCCTCAAATGCACTTCAAGGGCAGCATGATTGAATTAAGCAGCCATTAGATGTATGAGATGAGCTGTAATTGCGGGGGTATTTATCTATTCAGGTGAAAGAGTTTCGACCGCTAGGTCATGTTGCTGCTGTGCTGCCCTCAGAAAAAAAAAGAAACGTGCGTACTTGTTTGTGTTTTGCCCAGCCATGTTGTTTTAACCTCCTGCTGTTGAAACTAGACGCTTCGTGTACAAATTTATTTATTTATGTTGTTTAAGGGAGTGCTTATGTCACTTCCTCGTGTTTCAACCCTCATTAATGACCAAGAGAATAAGAACGTAGAGGCAGTAAATGAACCGCAGTGTGTTTGTGTCAGTTGGGTGCCACGGGAGCATTTACACCTTCATGTCAGGACGTTCTCTTTAATTCACATGGTGTTACTTCGTTTTCTTCTTGTCCCTAAAAGCGCTCCCTTTCTGAAAGCTATTCCTGTTTCCAGCACCACTTCAGGCAGAATGTCATCCTGACCTCCTCTGTTCGCTTGTCACACAGGCCTGCCCCTGTTGTTCCTGCTGAGAGGAAGTGATGTCACGCCACCACCACCGCTACGAGAGGGACTACCGCGGACCCTGGGAGCGACGAGACATCCGTCCGTCCGGCCTCCACAATGGAGGAGCCAACCACAGCTGTGCCTCTGCTGTTGTCAATGGCAACAACCGTCCGGGGCTCCTTCCCCTCCCGGTCATCCCCTCCCTCCTTCCCACCCCTGTCACAGTTGCCGTGACAACATCGAGCGGTGACCTCGCGGTCAAGCGAGGCATCACGGGAGCGGGAGCCGTGGCTCCGGCGTCAGCCAAGGTAAGACGCTGAGACACCTGCGATCCTCCGACTTATCCCAGAGTCCTCTCAATCTCTCACTCAAGTTTCTCTTTATCCATTTTTTGTTCTCGCTGTGCTAACTTTTAGATCCGTCATGGCTCCCCCCATGCCCCTCAGTCAAACACAACATCTGACTTTTATCTAACAGATTTTGAGCTCGTCTTTCTTTTTCTTTCCCTTTCTTTTCTTCACGGTTCAATAGCCTTCGCTCTCCAAGCCTCTCTCCTGCGTTCGTTCTCTTTCTGCTGCCTCTTCCACTCTCTACCTTCATCCCTCACTCCAATTTTGCTGCTCTCTCTGCACTATTATGCCCCTTTCTTGCCAGAGTATTTTCCCTCCATCTTCATTTCTTCTCTATGCCAAATGGCAGGCTCGTCCTGCCTCAGCCTCTTTCGTAATTCTCCTCTTTCATTATGTAAATGACCTCTGACAGAGACTCAAATGGAGGTTTTTGTCACAAGTAATGGTTATAGGGAGACTAAATCATTGGATAAGTCCTGAGTTGATAGATTTTACCAATGTAGTTTGCATCTAAACAGCCTGTGATCACGATACTCACACCACAAACTGGTTTTGAAGCAAATTTAATAAGGGTTTTGTGGATTTCTTGTTAAAGTCCATGTTGTATTACTGTTCAGACTGAAACTACAGCTGCTTGAAATGTCTTAGGGTCTCAAGATTGAGCTCTCCACCATCTTATCCTGGGATTTGTTTGCAGGCTAGCTGTCAGCAGCATGTAAGGAGAAGGGGTTTTCACTAAAACAGACATTTCAGACTTTCTCCTGCCTCTGCTTCCATTCATCGTCTTTCAGGGTTGCTCTACACTATCAGATCATTGGCTTTAAATTATAAATTTCAGCAAATTCTCTTGCACCTCCTCGCTGTTCTTCTCTCGGCAGAGCCTGGATTTGTATGAGCCGAGGTAAACAATGCAGCGGTAATTTAGCCCCTAAGTGCTCATCATTAGATTCCCCGCTGAATGCACTGACCACAGACACAGTAAATCTGCTCTGGCACCGTGTGGCCACTCCTTTTGTCTGAATAATTACATACATTCAGACAAAGTCTCGCCAACTCCCACCGTGGCCGCTGTCATCATTCAATGGCTGCCAGAGCAATTAGGTGCTTTGCCTTGGACGCAAGTGCACACTTATTTCAAGCTACAGTATATGTGGGAACGTGTGCACAACTGTACTACGGATAAATGAAGACTGTTCCCAAGATGCCACTCTGGTACCTTTACACAATTTGTCGTGTCTCTGTTTGATGGAGGAAACAAAGCACTGAATATAAAGAATGACCCAGCATCATAAGTATTTTCTCTGAAGCTTATCTCACATACTCTTGTTCAATCAAAGTTGTTGGTGCTCACAGAGAGTCTGATGGACGGATGCAGCTCTCTCTCCATAGTCCGTGTCTCTGCTCCATCCACGGACACACTAAAAAGCTGACAGACGATATTGATTTCCACTGTTTGGGGACTCTCTTTATAAACACACCAGCCCAAGTGGGGATGGTGTCCAATAGCCATGTACTGAAGAGTGGCATGTCTGAAAGTGATAGCCCTGCATGTGCATCTGAAGTCAAACGTATAGTTTTAGCTCTGCAGTTTGTGATCTTTCACAACGTCTTGTCATCTGTATAAGATTTAACGATTAGCTAGATTCCTATGTGGTTTGAATAACAGTACTGTGAGCGCGCATGTATATGCACCCTCTTGTAGCGGTGCATCTATGTGTGAGACAAATGCTGACAGTCAGAAAGTGCCATCTGGCTACGATGTCCATGAGGATGTAAAGCTGACCAAGTGGAACAGTGAACTACAGTTAATTCAGAGCTACACTTTGCCTGCTAGACCATTAATTAGTTTTACACTAACTTCATGTTTGATTTACTTTTTGTGTGTTGTCGTGGCTGTAGAGACACTGCACTAAATACTGTAAATCCATGCAGTTATTAGGAAATCATCTTTTTATCACCTGCTGATGAACTGGACTTTTTTGTAGGTTCACTTTGACTGCTTGATGCTCTTACTTGATATTACTTAAAGTAATATTTCCTTAGTGTAAATAAAATAACTTGACCCCAAATGAATTCAATTCAAATTCAAATCCATTCAAAAATACTTTATTAATCCCAAAGGGAAATTAATTGTTGTTGTAGCTCATCCAGGTTTCATTAGAGATGAAGTGATGAGAAGATGAGAAGAGATGAAGTGATTTCGTTACTGAATCAAGCAGAGAAGAATGATAAATGATATGATATGATATGATATGATACAATATGATATATGATGTGATATGATATATGATACGATATGATACGATATGATACAATATGATACAATATATGGTATATTAGATGGTGTGAGATATGACATATGACATATGCTATATGTATAATAATATATATATATATATATATATGATGTATATGATGCAGTATATGGTTTATGTCGGATACAAAACATATGGTGCAAGACTAGTTAATATGTGACATTATCAATATTTGAGACTAATACAATACATGGCACACTGATGCAACATACATTGGAATAAATATGATAAAATATGATTTGATCTATTGATACAATGTGACATAGAAAGCACTAGGTTATACGATATGAGATGTATGATATTACAAGACTAGTATGATATAGTACAGTTTGATATAAAATGATGGTAAAATATATTGCAGTTTGATACAATTTAATTACAATGCAATATATGATATGAGACATGTGATGCAGTTTATGATTTATAGCATGACATTTGATTAAGTATGATCAAATACAATACTGATATCGATGAAACATTTTGGATTATGTCATATATTTGATATAATCCAACACAGTAAGACGTGTGATATGAGGTAATAACCCCCCCCCCCCCCCCCCAAAAAAAAAAAAAGTAATCTGACATGATTAATGATAGAGGTATGACACAGTGGGGTACATTATATGATATATATAGGTTATGGGACACATTACGCTATTCTTTATGGTCCCTATGGAGAAATTAGTTTTAAACTCAGCTGTCTGACAAGCTGTGTTCAGAAAAAATGTTCCATCAAAAAAATGCTCTTTAACAAGACATATTTTCATTGCTAAAACAGTTTTTGTTTTTTTAATTTAATTTTATTTCTCTGTTTTATTTTTTTGTTCAAAGTGAGCATGCAGAAACATGAAGGCACAAAATTGGAGAAGTGAATACAGAATTAGTGGCTCACATTTTCAAATTAAATAAATGCAGCATTTATTTTCATTTAAATAAAATGTCAAGTTGCTGAGCAAGACGCATACTGTAGATGCAAGGAGCGTTAAAAAAATAAATAAAATGCTCATATACTTTAATTGTAATTTATAAACTTGTTTAAGTATTTGGAGCGCACTCAAAATATGTAAACCAAATTATCTGAATGGTCATAGTTGCTAATATGATTTTCAAAATACTTTAATTTTAAAATACTTTTTATTTTAATCATTTTTACTATTTCTTATCGCGAGCCCATACAAATAGAATGACCATGTGCTGTTACTGCTTAGACTGCTGGTTTTAAAGTTTGATCCAAAGGTACATTTTGACTGCGCTGCCCTTGTCTTTTAGACATCCTGTTTATTATTCCTGTGATTCTAAATATCTGCACGTCTCTAAATCACATCCAGTTATCGACTTTAAAACATATATGCTCACTTATGCAATAAGGTCTGTAGAGAAGTCAAATTAAATGTTTACCCTTTTTAATTATATTCTGCTTTAATGTGTTTGTGAGGATTTTCTTGAGATTATGCTTTATCTAAAACAGTTTTTTTTAAATAATTTATTTAATTCTACTAATGCCTTAGTCAGAAAGTTTAGCCATAAATAGGACTGGAAGCTGGATTTTCCTGCATGAACTAATCCCTTAAAATGAAAGTTTCAAATTCGCCCTCCCTTGATATTTAACAGCAGCAGTGATGTAATTTCTTCACCAGCCACTTAGTTATCACACATGCAGGACCTGCTGTTGATATTAAAACCTCTTCTATTGATCCAAAGACCTAAAAGGCAGACTTTACTTGCATGTTTGGTGTTGATTCTCCATGTTTCTGACAGTTTGAGTTACCCTATTTACACAAGTTCTCTGCTGAAAAGTTTGTTCTTGAAATTTAATATCTGATATTAAAAGCAACCTCTAACCATGATTGCTGTTTGTTTAGCCTGTGGCTAATCTTATTAGTTAAATGTTGGGAGAGTTGGTTTTAATGCTGTGGTATTCCCACAACTGCGAAGCAACGGCAAAGCTCAGTGTTAAAGACTTTCTTTACAGATTATTATTCAAGTTATATTTTTCATATCAGAACGTGTCAATGGGGATGGTTAAAGCTTTTACTGTTACTGCTGCAATGACCAAACATATCTCTTTTGATTGCGATGCTTAAAGTTTTAATGGTTTTGTTGGTTCTATGTGGTGTGTAGTACGTTACCTTTGTTTATTGTAACTTTGTGCTGTTCTACCTTGGCCAGAGCACTCTTGTATTAAAAAAAAAGCTTCAGTCACCAAGAGTCTTGGTTAAAACAATCAATAAATAAATAAAAAAAGCATAACCAAGCTGTTGTAAGGGTGAAATGTAATGTCAAAGTTCATGCTCAATAATCCAGGTACAAATCCAACATTGTTCAGTCAGGTCATTTGAACGGTTTCTTTTTCTTTCCTTTTTTTTTTTTTTTGGATGAGACGTTTTATCCTTCATCCAAAGGACTTCATCAGTTTGAGGAGCCACAAAGATGAGATGTAATGGTACACCATAGGCAGGTTTCTAGTCCATTAAACCTTTAGGACTACTTTTTATTACTTCTTTAAGATGTTTCTACTCTAATCCAAAAGGCTCCCTAAATTCTGATTATAAATTGAGAGTTTCAGCCTCAAAAGGTGCGGTTGGGAGAGTGACTCTAATAAGGGTTGTTGGTCCACCCAGTCATGTGATGAGTTGTTTGGGC